ATATATATATATATATATATATATTCTCAATTTCTTATACCCTGCGTAACTTACATATAAAACCTGCTGTCTAATATGAATTATCTCCTTTTCATTCTTGGATTACTTTTCTAAATATTTTCACCATCAAGAACTGGGAACTCCCTAATTTAGTTGTATTTTTTATAGGAAGATTTAGTTAAAAACATTGCCAAATTGGTTTATGTCGTTTTGTAACACGTGCAGACAAACTTCTGGCACTGATCTGGCACGCCACTGCTGCTTCTTCTTCTTCCCCCTTTAACTGCTATTTTGTGCTTTGAGCTTTTTGAGAATGTTATTGTTGTGCTATAATCTACTAGATCTCTTATTCTTTTTCTTGCAGATTGTGTGAAGGTGGAGAGCTGCTTGACAGAATACTGGCAAAGTAAGTGAGAATGCTATTTTCTTACATCTTAATGATCTAGTATCCACTGTACTACAGAGGACACAAAATCAAAGGCAACATTTCTTTCTTGTTTGGATTATTATCCATCTTTTTGATGGATTCGGCTAGACTTATACTGGTTTGTTCATTTCAGAGGTGGTAAATATTCTGAAGACGAAGCAAAACTTATTATCGTTCAAATTCTTAGTGTTGTATCATTTTGTCATCTTCAAGGTGTTGTCCACCGGGACTTAAAACCTGAGGTATTTGAATAGTCTCTTCTGATGACCAGTTTGTCAGATCTCTCTCACTGATGAATATAACTTAATTGTCCGGACATCTTTTGTGACTCAGAATTTTCTATTCACCTCAAGAAGTGAAGATGCTGATATGAAGCTTATCGATTTCGGTCTTTCTGATTTCATCAGGACAGGTACGATTGAGAAATTTTAAAAAATTGTCTTCTTTCTGATTCTTCTCATGTGTCCTAAACTTTATATTACTCAGTCTCTTTATAAGCGAACTTGCAACTGTAGCATGATACTTGCTAGTTTTAGACTTGGCATAGTCGACAAATGGATGCAAATGAAGTTGATCTCAAACAATTAGCTTGTTTCTTAATTTAGTTCATTTGCAACGTACTTGGATAAGTCTTGAGTTACTCTCTTATATGGCGCATGCCATTTTGGCTTACCTGTCCAGCTATATAACCTTTCCATTTTTTTTTCTTTAAGTTTAATATTTTTCGGTTATCGATGAATTGTTGCAGTTTCATCCACAATAATTTATGCCTTAAAATCTTGGTTATGCATCTCTATGTACCTCTACCAATATGAAAAGCTTCTTAGCTTAACACATTTATTCACAAAACTCCAAATTCATGAAGCGAATATTTTGAAATACATGTCCCTGTTATTTCTCTGAGATAAAAATAATTGTGCTAACAAGAAGCCATCCATAATGTTCTCCTGTTGTATAACTATTCGCATCAGTTGGATGTCTCAGTCTTTGTATCATCTCCCATGTTTTCATCCTTTCAGATGAAAGATTAAATGATATTGTCGGAAGTGCTTATTACGTTGCTCCCGAAGTTCTCCATAGATCTTACAGTGTGGAGGCTGATATTTGGAGTATTGGTGTCATCGCTTATATTTTGCTGTGTGGTAGCAGACCATTCTGGGCTCGGACAGAGTCTGGAATATTTCGTGCTGTTTTGAGGGCTGACCCAAATTTTGAGGACTTGCCCTGGCCATCTGTTTCACTGGAAGCCAAGGACTTTGTGAGACGGCTTTTGAACAAGGACTACCGCAAAAGGATGACTGCTGCTCAAGCTTTGAGTTAGTATTCTATGAAATGCTCAAAATAGTTGTTTCAAATATTTTATTGTATGTTGCCTACATATTGGATTGACTAAGAACTTTGACTAAGTTGGCTTTTGGTGCTTCTGCTTTTGACTGCATAATTAATTTGCTGAGATTCTTACAGTCAGGCACCGGGTGACTGATAAGTTCCATAATGTGCCAATAAAAAGAAATGGTTAATGATACATATTACTACATCCGATAGAATTGGATTGGCTAAGAACTTTGAATTAAGTATTAATATACTTGAATAACTTGAACTACTTCTATCTATCCTCCTTTTTTGTTTCTATCCACAGAATTTATGTGACTTCATATAAGTTTTGCTTTTCCATTTATTGGTTCCAAATTTTCTTTATTTCAGCTCTTTATTCGGCCAATTCAAAGTGACATTTTTTTCTTAAGCTTCTGATGGTGTGTGACTTTTTTCACACAAATAAAATAGTTAAAACTTCACTTGTTTTACTTTGGCTTCTAATTGCAAACACGTGTCCAACTTTTGTTTTGCAAAGACTCCTATCTGTTTGTATTTTTTTTTTTTTTCCTGCTGGCATGGGGACGTGAATACTTGTGTATATTAGAGTTTCAATGTAATTATTGAATAAACTGTTCTGTTTAGTATTTTTGTACAAATTGTTAATATAAGAAACCAATTTCAGAACATTAATCTAGCATCTTTTATTTAGTCACAGTTATCCAATTGAAAGCAATGATATAAATAAATAGTACTCTTCCAATTCCACTGTGATGAAAATGGAAATCTTTGAAAATGCAGCTCATCCATGGTTACGGAGTGAGAGCCATCCAATTCCACTAGACATACTTGTCTATAAGTTAGTGAAGTCATATCTACACGCTACCCCTTTCAAACGTGCTGCACTAAAGGTATGAATTATTTTATGCACACAACTGACTGCTAGTGCTTCTAATTGTGGCCACACTTCAATCAAAATAGGGGCATACGGAAAAATCGATTGGTTATTCTAGATTAAAATCAGAAATCTTGCCAATTATATTATCCACACCACACGCAAACACACATTACATGCTTGTGATCACATATTGACTGCTTGTGCTTCTAATTGCGGCCTTGTTTTCATTAAAATGTGGGCATGTTGAAAAATTGATTGGTTATACTAGATGCAAAATCAGAAAACATGGCAATTATCTTATGGGAATACAGTCATACATACACTCGAGCACATTGCTGCTTGTGCTTCTAAGTGTGGCCATGTTTTCACCAAAATATTGATTTATGAAAAGAAATAATTGGTTATGGTAGATGCAAAATCAGAAAACTTGGCATCTAGTTCAATTAATTTCCCTTTTCCTTGAAATGCTTGTAGGCTCTCTCAAAAGCTCTGACTGAGGATGAATTGATTTATCTTAGAGCACAATTCATGCTTCTGGAGCCTAGTGAGGATGGTCGAGTCTCTCTCGAGAACTTTAGAAAGGTTGTGAATACATGTTCTTTACCTCTCCATTTGCTCCCCATTTCTAAATCCAAGGAAGTGCTTACATACACTATAAAGTTGTTCTCATGCTAGCAATTGCTTTAGATTTCTGGTTCTTCTCTTTTGGAATTACCACCGAGAAATAACGTACTTTTACCCAACACTCTTGAATTATGTGATTTCCAGCTTCTATTTGCAAACTCTGCCAGTTATCTGTTCACAACTACTTGTTACTTTCTAGATACAAATAACTTCTCGCAAAAAGTAGAACTGTGAATGATAACTCGCCAAACGTCGTCGTGTCTCCTGATTCCAATTTTGAATTTGGCTTCATTATTGTTTTCCTTTTTTTTTATATGGTTTTCCATCAATTAAAAAATTGTTTCTTAAGGATTATTGCACTTTTTTTTTCAGGCTCTTGCACGGAATGCTACTGATGCAATGAACATGTCTAGGGTCCCGGACATCCTAAATTCGGTAAAAATTACCTGTCACTAAATAATGAATACATACAATAAAATATCTGTTCCGGTCTAAAATATCTCACGTCGCTCAACTCACGAGCAGTGGAACCTAATAACTAAGCTCATGTTTGGTATCCAGATGGCACCATTGTCTTTTAGAAGGATGGATTTGGAAGAGTTTTGTGCGGCTGCAATAAGCACTTATCAGCTGGAAGCCCTCGAAAATTGGGAGCAAATTGCGTCCACAGCTTTCGAGTTTTTCGAACAGGAGGGTAACAGAGCAATATCAGTGGAGGAATTGGCTCGGGTATTTTATTTATATTTTTTATTTTTGTGGCGTTATGGTAATCGTGTTGTCGGAACTGTTGATAATTTGCTTTCGAAATTGGATTTGGCACGCAGGAGTTAAACGTGGGGCCCAGTGCTCATGCCATGCTCAGGGATTGGTTGAGGAGGGACGGGAAACTGAGTTTGGTCGGGTACACCAAATTTTTGCATGGATTGACACTTCGTAGCTCAAACATGAGGCATCACTAGGTTTTACGTTTTCTTCTCTCTCTCTCTCAACTTTTATTTTATTTTTTTTTTATTTTTGGTCCCTAATTTCTTTTCCTTGCTTCCTTTTGGTCCCTGATATTTGAATTTCACCATGCCTTGGTAGCAGTTTATAATATTTATATACATTTGGATGAACCTTAGGAAAAAAAGAATTTGATGTACAAAATCTGGTATTTTGAGTTGATTTGGAAGGATCTAAACTCGGGAAATCGTCTGCTTGACTCATTTTTGGTGCGCGGTCCGAGACTTCTGTTTTTTTTTTTTGTTTTCTCCTTTTTTTT